TGCAGGAAATAGCCCGACTTGATTATGTAAAGAGTTGTCACTTTGGATGGGCTAGCACCAGCAGGAGAGTGAATTTGTGTGGGGGGGTGGAGGGTGAGAAAACCTGGATTTGTGCTGGAAATGGCCCACCTGTTGATCACTTTAGATAAGCTATTACCAGCAGGACAGTGGGGTGGGAGGAGGTATTGTTTCATATTCTCTGTGTGTATATAAAGTCTGCTGCAGTTTCCACGGTATACATCTGATGAAGTGAGCTGTAGCTCACGAAAGCTCATGCTCAAATAAATTGATTAGTCTCTAAGGTGCCACAAGTACTCCTTTTCTTTTTGCGAATACAAACTAACACGGCTGTTCCTCTGAAACCTGGTTTAGGATAAGCTCTTTCTGTTTGTGATAGGAAGGAGCAAGAATCAAGAAGACAAAGGAAAACACACTTGACTGATATTGTTACTCATAGTTTAAGGCTCTAAAGTTCTCAGATTTCACAGGGGGGCTGTTTGTATGGGGGAGAATTATTAATGGTAAAGGGAGGAAGAATCTTGCAGTCTATCCAGCAAATACAAACAATAATGGGGAAACTGGAATTAAAGTACCCTCTATGTTTCCAAATAGTCCTGGATGTTCTGATCATCTTTACAGTAAGGCCTAGTCTATCCTTAAAAGTTTTGCTGTCAAAACCCCTATAGTGTAGATAGATGCAGCTTATACAGGCAAAAAGAAATGCTTTTGCCCTTATAGTTTATATCAATTCAGCAAGCAAAATTAGCTCTACCACCAAAAGCACATGTTATGACCAGCTTTTCTCAAATGCGGTCACCAGGGGATTTTTCTGTGGCCTGGGTGGAGATTGGGTGGAGGGTCGCAAAGCAGTTGCTCCTGGCTGCCTTGGTGTTTGCTAGCACTGCCAGCAAGGGATCAGCGCTCTTCACCACAGAGCCTCTTGGGGGCTCCGGGCAGCGCCTCTGCAGACATGTGGGGCCAGTGTGCCAGCATGCTCTGGGGGCTGCAGGCTTCAGCCTGGGGCAGTGGGGCTTAGGGTTGGAAAAATTGTCAGAGCAGCCACCAGCAGGGGTTGGTGGCCGCACTCTGAGGCCACCAAAAAGAGTTGTTCAGCAAATCCCTCGCTAGGTAGGGGCTTGCGTAACAGGGGGCAAGAAGTGGCACAGGCCCACCTCCAATCAGCAGGGGCACAGAACTCCTGTGGTGCTGGGTCAGGGAGAGCGAGCTCCACTGGCCCCCGGGGCGGGACGGGGAGAGATGAGTAAGGTCCACTGACTCGGGGGAAGGGGGGAACCAGCCTCTCGAGCCGCGGACAGCACAGAGATTGCCCCTCCAAAAGTGACCAAACTTTTATTCTTGTGCACACCCCTAACACTAGGGCATTTGCCTGCATAGAAATGTCAGAGAAAATCACCCCTAACCAGCCTGGCTATAGCAGCAAAAGTTCTTAGTGTGTAGACCTGGCATTAGACTTTACTCTGGTGCATATGAGTTTTTCCAGCAAGTTTCTTGTAACTCTATCAGGCACTGCTTGGCCTGTGAGTAAGATGAGGGGCAGTTTTTTGCTTCCTTCTCATGGACAACACCTAAATTGCAATTTCACCATAAGATCCACTGAATTAAATGGTATTCTCCAAAGGGAATCTCATAGCATGTTATCACTTCAAGAAATGCTAAGACGCTTGTGTAAACAAAGAAAATGCTTCCTTCCATTGAGTTGAGCTGTGGAAGATCTCTACTATTTAAGTTGTAGAAAACTGAACTTTTCATTCTACATCCTAGCTAACGCCTATAATAATATCTTATAGCACACTTCTTCAGTAGATCACAAAGCACTTCACAAAGGAAGTATCCTACTGAGGCACACAGGGGCAAAGAGTTTTGACCAAGGCCACTCAGCCAGGGCAGTGGAAGAGATGAGAATAATACCCAGCTCTTTTGAGTTTTAGTTTGGAGCTCTATCCACTTGGCCACACTGCCTCTGTTGATCATTACTGGCAAGGGTTAATTCTGGAGCAGAGAGCTTCAGCATGATTGCAGGAAGCAGCATGCATGTAAGGTGAGGTGCAACACACTAGTTCAGGGGGTCTCACACTCAATTTACCTTAGAGCCAGTGCCAGTCCTCAAATCCCCCCAGCAGGCCAGTAATGTCACTGACAATGGTGGTCCGAAAAGAAAATGTTTATATTTTGTTTTTTATTTTGAATTTCTTAGCAATAATAAAACTGTCATACAACTTTATACAATTCTTTGCCTGCCAGAGAGTTTTTAGTGTTTGCCAGACACCTGGCAACACTTCAGTTCTGTCAGTTTGTTGATGTTTGGCCTCAGTGACAAAGCCGTTGAAACCTTCAGGATTACGGCAAGGTGTGCATCAGATAGTTGTGGCAGGTATTTTGACTTGGGGTGGGGGAGTGACACTGCCTCCACGGCTTACTCTGCCTGGCAACTAATGATGCTGCCTCCATGGCTGATTCTGCCCAATGATTAGTGATGATATTTCTGTCCCTCTCCCCCAGCCAATGGGAGCTGCAGGGGGTGGTGCCTGCAGAAGACAGAGCTGGCAGCATGGCTATATGGGCTTCTTCTCTATGGGCTGCAGTGGGGAGGCCGCTTACGTAGCAGTACAGTAAACTCCTCACTTAACGTTGTAGTTCTGTTCCTGAAAAATGTGACTTTAAGTGAAACGATGTTAAGCGAATCCAATTTCCCCATAAGAATGGATGTAAATGTGGGGGGGGGGGGTTAGGTTCCAGGGAAATTTTTTTTTTTGCCGTACAGTACAGTACTATAGTTGGGAGGTGCCCCCGCCTTACCCCACACAGGCACAGCCCACTGGCACTGGAGACAATGAGGCAGGCAAGGAGGCTGAAGGTGCTGTAGGCTAGGAGAAGCACGTTGCACAGCTGCAGCTTCCCCTACTCTTCAAGCACCAGGGGCAGGGCACTCAACCCTCAGCCTGCCCACTCCACCCCTTCCCCCAAGCCCCCACCCTTGACCCGTCTCTTCTACCCTCCCTCCCTCCCCCTTCACTCCGCACGCCACATCCTTGCTTCTCCCCTGCCTTGCCTTGCGACGTTCAGGGGGCAGGGGAGGGAGGGAGGGGGAGCCTGTGCACCGAGTCCTCACTCCTCCCCCCTCCCTCCTGAATGCTGCAAGCCAGCTGATTGCCATGGGCAGGAGGCGGGGGAAGGAGGGGGAAAGTGCTGATCCACAGGATCTGCCAGCAGGTGGGAGGTGCTGTGGGGGGCGGGGGCGGCGTAGGGGAGCTGATCGGGGGCTGCCAGCTGTGGACAAAGTAGACAGCCAAACGACATTATAGCAAAGCATTGCACAACTTTAAATGGAGCATGTTCTGTAATTGAGGAGGGACGTAAGATCGAAACAACATTAAGCGAGAGGATGTTAAGTGAGGAGTTACTGTAGAACCTCTCTGAGCCACAGACTTGCATATTGTCCTAACCTGCAGCCTTGCCCCACATCTCAGCACAGATGTAATAGCAGAATGGTGTTGTAAGCTTACTGGGAAAGTTATGCGTGTTACTGAAGCTTTACACAATATGTCCTATGGGAAAAAAAACATTTGCTAGCATGCAGTGAACTGTTAGGATAAATCATTGTAAACAACATTTGTCAAAATAAATGAACCAGCTACATCTTGCAATCATGTTTGTTTGTTTATTTTAATTTCCAGAGGGTTTCCCAATCAGTAGTGTGAGTTAGCATTGTTCATTGCTCAATGTATACACAGTAGTTGCTAGTCCTTGGGGTGGGGTGTGCATGAGTAGGTTTCAGGGGGTCTGCCGAGCAGGTACAGCATTAGACTTTCTGGGGCTCATGACAGAAAGCTGAAGCCCCACCACGTGTAGCTCAGGGCCCCAAGCCCTGCCCCCTGGGGCTGAAGTTGAAGCCTGAGCAACTTAGCTTCACAGGGCCCTCTGTGACATGGGGCCCCGGGCAGTTGCCCTGCTTGCTACCCACTAATGTTGGTCCTGGCTTTTGTATGCAGAAAACCTGTTGTTGTGGCATAAGTGGGACATGGAGTTTTTATAGCATGTTGGGGTGGGGGCTCAGAAAGGAAAACGTTGAGAACCCCACCCCCGAACTTACGGTATGCCTGCACTGCACACTAAGCCCAGGCTCTGATTCAGGTTCAGCCCAAGCCCTCCTTTCATCCGCACACACGAATCAGTCTAACTCATGTCAGCAAGCACTCAGGACCTGGGTCATAGGACCCTGCTAGGGCTTCGGGCTCTCACCCACCCCTCGAACGTTTTGCACGGTGGATGCAGCTCAAGCTGTAGACCCAAGTCAGAATGTCTGTGTAGTGCAGTACTGACGCACATTAGCATGGCTGTGATACCATGGTCCAGCAATTGTAAACCCAGGTGTCCAATACAGTGAGGATGCTTGAGCACAGGCTTGGAAGCATGGTCCACAAGCCTGGACCCCACTGACCTGGATTTACGATGCCGTGTGTAGACACCCTTAAGGGCTTGTCTACTCAGGGACATTCAGGAAAGAAATGCAAACTTTTAGTTAATTTGGAATTAAAAGTGCATTAGTTACACCCCATTAATCCCTGGGTGGACACTCTTTCAGAATTTAAGTGGCCTTATTTTGGTTTTGTTCACTAGTGAATTAAACTAAACTGAGATAAGATCACTTAAATTCTGAATGAGTGTGTCCACTCAGGGATTTAATGCAGTTTAACAAATCCGCTTTAAATTCACACCATAAATTAATTCACATTAATTTTCCTTTGTCCCCAAGTAAACGAGTCCTCTCTATACCATTTGCTAACAGGAAGAAACCATTAGTCAAGAAAAGGAAGGCGAAGAAGACTAAATTGGGTTTTGTCAGCATGTAGATAATGGTGGGGAAAATAAGAGTTGAACAAGAGCAGCAACCATAGCACATGGTGTTACAGTTGAGAAAACAGACAAACTGAAATAAAACTAAATGCTTTCATTACACTTTTTTGTTTTGATTCTATCAGGTGGCAACCGTTTGTGTCAAGGACAAGATTTTCTTGACCCTTGTGAGTAGGGGCTAATGCACAGACTTGGAATTCATGGTTTGTTTCTTTTTAAATTGTTAGTAAAGGTGTTATAGTTTAATATATAAATTACACCTGAGCTTCCCATATCAGAGTCAGTGACCCATCCAATTTGACCACATAGCTTGTCCTTTTGCCCCCCTCTCCTGCCCCCTGTCTTGTTCTCAAATATTAGCTAGTTTTTCAGGGCAATTAACTTGGAAGTCTGAGATTCCTCCACCTACCACTTCCCAGAAGAGAGCGTATGAACTGCTTTTTAAAACGACTGACTGAAGGAGAGAAGGCTTTGTCACATCACTTTTGGCACAAGTCCCCTACAATTGCTATTTTTTACCTTCTCTAGCTAGGCTTTCTTGATGGAAGAATCCCCCAAGGACATAAATCTAGAGCCTTCTTTGTAATAGGGCTAGTGACCCACTAAAAACTGGAATTACCCCACTCCATTCAAGAAAACCAAATTCTCTTGCACAGTAAGATCAGGTGACCTGGACAAACAGGAACATAGAACACGGGACTAAGAGCTGATCAGTTGCTATTGATTTGGGCGTTTTGCTGACCTTCAGAATCCTCCTGCCACTGGTAACTTATGCAAGCATTGAGTAGAAAATGATTCACTAAATCTTTTTGAGACAAGGAAGCATTAGTGCTCCTGAATCTCTTTTTGAACCCTCCTCTTTTATCTCATGCCAAAAATTCCCCTCTCGTGGTATTGACATAAACACAGTTGTAACTCTTTCTTGCAGTGGGAGAAGGGAGGGGAAAGAACTTCACTTGTTATATAACGGTGGTGTTTCGATATGACCTTCTTTTGCTTACACGGTATTCTGTTTGCATTGTGCCATACAGGTGCGGGGGTACAGTTGGTGCCATTGTTACCTGTCCCTTAGAAGTAATAAAGACCAGGCTCCAGTCTTCAAGGCTAGCTTTCCGGACTGTCTACTATCCTCAAGTCCAGCTGGGGACGATCAGTGGGGAAGGAATGGTCAGGCCGACATCTGTATCACCCGGACTTCTCCGGGTTCTAAAGTGAGTACAGCTCTTGTCATTCGTAGCATCCTGTGCAACCAGTGGACTTGACTCTGATTTCATTGGCACTGGTTTTACACTTGAATGGTGTCCTTCTGGACTCACACTGGTGTGAGATGGGAATTGGGCCTTATGTATTCAGCATCAACTGAAAAGTTGAATTAACCTTTAAAAATACATCTTGTGGAAGCACCTTTGAATTTTCAAAGGAACTTATTTAAAACTGCACTGAGAAACTTTCCAAAGAGTATTGGTTTGGATAAGTGTCTGGAGGTAGTATTTTTAAATAGACTTATTGGCTCTAAGCTTTCTGGTAAGTATGAAGCCCCAAGGATCAAGAGACGGTAGTATTCTCTTGCCAGGTGATATGTATGTCTGCTTGCAGGAGAAGTTTTAAAAATATGCTTTTCCTCCATAGCACTTCCTATAGCTCAGAACATGTGGATTCTCACCCTGTTCATCCTTTTGGATTTCTCATGTTTCTCAGTCTTTTGCACTGGAGCAGTGTGATGGGCAAGTCCTGCTGGCTAGGCCCCTGTCTTAGCAGTGTGACTGAAAGACTGAGTGAGCCACTGAGGCAGAACTCCTCCCTCTCATCTCTGGAGCTGGTGACGATCCTAGTTCAGAGTTGGAGCAGCATGGGAGAAAAACTTTTCGTTGCTGCTGTCTGTGCTGTGTACCTGTTCTGGGGACCATGGACTCCAAGACTGTCACTCTAACTGGGGTCTACCCCTCCACCTGTTTCAGGGAGCCTGGTCCCTTTTGTTTTGATGGGCTATACCCACCTTTCTAAGGTTTTGTGGGCCCCCCTCCCGCCTGTGTGGGTGGGTGTTCAGTTGCTTTGATGGGCAGAATCCACAAACACCAGTCATCAAATAGTGTGGGGCCTTGGCCTAAAATTCACTTTAAAAAAAAAAAGAGAGAGAGCCAAAAGCCCATCAAGTGATGAAGAAGGGAAGAGTGTAAAGGCCATAGCGTGTGGTGTCTTGCATTGCTCGACTGGCACTGTGTTTTAGAGTATTAGACTGTAGTTTAATAATATTGGAATGGTCCAAACTAACCTCTGACACACTCTGTGCTGGAGGGTGAAGGGGTGTGTAACACGCCACTGCTCTGGGTTTGCAGGGCAGTAGCACAGTGGTGTACAGTTGGGATTGCTTTTCAGAGCAATCTATCCATGTCTTTCTTTTAAGGCTTAGATTCTGCCAAAAACTGCACAATTGGCAGCTTCAAGACTGAGCTTTTCCAGTGGCGATCTGGCTGCCAGGTTTCCTGTTCCCAGCTTCTTTGAAACAATAGATTGATAAAACTAACAATCCATTTTATACAAGCTTCCTATCTTTCATGTTTGCCACATCATTCATTGCTGTCCCCCTTCTTACATTCCCAGCTACGTGCTGCAAATTAGATGAGACTTGGTTTCTGTCCAAGAACCTGAACTGATGCAAACAGGATCTACATGATGTAATCTTTGCTCAGTACCTGGGGTTGGAAGGTCTCGGGCAGAGGCAGGCAAATTACAGCCCACGGGACCGTCCTGCCCGGCCCTTGAGCTCCCAGCCAAGGAGGCTAGGCCCTGGCCCCTCCCCTGCTGTTTTCCTTCCCCCGCAGGCGCGCCGCTGCGCGGGCAGCACATCTTGTGCCCGCCCACCTCCGAGGCTTTCCAATAAGCCTGTCCCACTGCTCTGAGCGGCATGGTAAGGGGGCGGGGGGAGTTGGATACGGGGCAGGAGGTCCCAGGGGACAGGGATTGGTTGGACGAGGCGGAGGTTTTGTGGGGGGGGGGGAAAGACACACACTGGTCAGGAAACAGGGAGCGGGTTAGGGGATCCCAGGAAGAGGGGGGACAGGGAACGGGGGGGTTGGATGGGGCGTGCGGTCCTGGGGGACAGTTAGGGACAGGGGTCCCAGGAGGGGTCGGTCAGGGGACAAGGAGCCGGGGGGGGGGGGGAGTTGAATGGATCAGGGTTTCTGGGGGGGGCATTCAGGGGCGGGAAATGGGAGGGAGGCAAGGGCCAGGCAGTTTGCGAAGGCACAGCCTTCCCTACCCAGCCCTCCATACCGTTTCGCAACCCTGATGTGGCCCTTGGCCCAAAAAGCTTGCACACCCCTGGTCTAGGGTGATCTTTTGAATTTGGAGGCCTTTCTGGTACAGGTAGGGCACTGGTGAATGCGTGTGAATGAGGGCTTCTCTGCACTGTTACGAAAGGCGCTGATTGTGACATGCCACACGGGAACTCATGGGGGAGGAGAGGGAAGAGGAAGGAGACAGTGTCTTTCACAAAAGCAGTCCAGCTAGAAAACCCAGCATGAACAGTCCCTAAGACAGCCCTATTCTTTCCTCCTCTTTTGCTATTTCTGACTGAACGAGCAGCCTTCTGTCTGCTACTGATGTGTGGTTTCAGACAGTGCACATTATATGGTCATTCCCGTAAATCCTCAGCTGGGAGTTTGAACTCCCCCTGTATATCCCTGTTGGAAAATCTCCAAGGCTTGTCAGATGCCTCTGCAGACAGGTAGGAGCAGCAGTGTGTTCAGCCTAATCTTTTCATGACATACATCCAACAAAAGAAGACTGGATCGAAGGCAAGTCAGTGCTCCCAAGCTAATGGGTTTGTATGGCCTAACCTGAGGCCTAGGTCTCTGCTGCTACATTTCTGAAGAAAGCAAAGGCAAAATCTAATCTGCACCAGGTTTATGTGGATCTGTGCAAATAAATATTTGCACTTTATTTTCGTGCAACGATTTTTTGTTTACATCAGGCATTTTGGTGCACCCCTCACCCTCCCCTCCCCCCCCCCCAAAAAAAAGCCCAGCAAAACATGTTGGTTGATTCATGTAATACTGATAAATTTGGCACATTGCCCAGTGAAGTTGCATGAATTAGATAACAATACAGTGGCAATCAAGTCCTCTACAGACTGTGTAGCTTGCATCACGTCACAACTTGAATCTCTTATTATAGATAAGCAATACTTCTCTCCCACCCTATCCCACAAATGCCAAGCACTCCTCTTTATAACATTTTTTTTGGTCAGATTGAGTCTAGAGCAGTACACGATGCACAACCAAGGTAACCGGAGCAAATCAGTACATTTTGGATGCATCTAACTCCCCTCCCTCCTGCGACACAAAGCAATCCTGATTAAAAGGGAGTCCAATAAAACCATTTCAAGGTAGCCAGTTCTTGTGACAGTATTCACCACTCTCTCTCATTTTCAGGGTTGTCCTTTGTGGGGAGATAGAAAGTTGGCTAAAACTGGGTGAGCTTTTACCATCCTTATAGACTCATTAAAGTCAGCGTTTGTGGTCTGGATTTATTTAATCTTGTTTCATTTCAGCAACTGCTCAAAGTCTGTCGCTTGCCTGGCTCCTTTTCCAGATGTCTGTGAAGCAATCTTGCAAATCGATTGTACTGTTTGTATTTCACAGATAATAAATTCTTCAGAGTCTAGAATTGATTTCACACAGGACCTCAGTGCACTCTCCTAAAGAGACAGTGTACACTTGCCACTGGCTCCCCTTTCCCATTTTGATGAAATCAGACCCCCTTGATGCTGCAGTTAACCACAGCTTTGTGTAAATGGGCACATTCTCCAAGGAAAGTGTAAACGCCTTCCTTGTTGCCACCTCCACCAAAGAAAGTTTTCAGAGACCACATTTGTAGAGCGTTCCCTATAGATAGGAGTGCACTTTCCTCCCAAGACTAATTGCCTTCTCTATAGCAACATTGGATGAAGGGGTATAGAGGGAGCATGGACTCGTTCAGCATTTTTCTTAGTTATATCATTGGAGTCAACTGTTCAGAACCTGATTCTTCATTATTAAGGCTACATTGAGGTCATGGAATCCCTGACTTCCAGAATCCTCCGTGACCGTCTCTGCTTCAGCCCCAGGGGCCGAGGGACTGGAGCTGGCAGCCAGCGGGTCCCCAGGAAGGTTCCAGCAACAGGTGACAGCAGTGACGGGGCCCCCTGCAAGTTTCCAGCAACAGGCAACAGCCTCCTGAGGGGGCCCTCCTCAGGGTTCCAGCGATGGGCAACAGCCTCAAGTGGAGGGGTGAGGAGGGGAGGGGGCCACCTTGGGCAAGTGGCTGGGGGTGTCCCATTTTCTCTTTGACAGATATGGTCATCCCGCAGCTCCCAACATCTGTGGGTGAAAGGGGGGGCTTGCTCTGCAGCTGCCGCAGGCAGAGGGGGTTCCCCACAGCTCCCGGCTACCACAGTGGTGGGGGAAACCATGGAGCCGCAGCAGCAAAAGTCACAGAGGTCATGGCTTCCATGAAGTTTTATTTATTGCCCGTGACCTGTCCATGACTTTTTTTTACTAAAAATAACCGTGACAAAATCTTAGCCTTATTCATGATTGATTCTTCAGAGAAGATGCTGTATTAATAGCTTTTGACTCAAGCAAGCCTTCTAGAGCAGGTAATGAGCGGTGATGACTTTTTGGGGCTCCTCTTACTGATGTCTCAGAGTGTTCCAGGCTGCAGAATACTAGGGGTTTGGGGCATTGATTGTCTTTTTATTGTTGTAGATGCTGTGCAAACACACAACAACCTCAGTGGGGTCCTGGTCCATGATTGGAGCTCCTAAATGCCACTACAATTCAAATAATGCTGCTGGTGGTGATCCTTCCTGCTGCTGTGAACTTGAAACCTTAAAGCAGGATGGAGAGCAAATTGGGTCTTTTGCATTAATTCCCTCTGCCCTTCTCTTCTGAAACTGCTGAGCTGGGGATGGGTGAACTAGGTGCTTTGAGTGGTATCAATAATTCCATTGAAAGGGAAAAAGCCTTCAGAGGCCTCTGTCAGATTGCTCCCAGGGAGTTGTGTATTGGCTATGAAAACACTGACTGTTAAGGCTAGAAAGAAAATAAATGCCCTGGACAGACCTGGTTAAACTTGCCTGTGGAACCTTTCAGAATGGAAAATGGTCCCAGAAGGGCAAGCTGCTTGTGTGTAAACCAGATTTTGGTGAGTCACCTCAGCTGGAAGCCACAGTCGTGACTATTAAAGTGACAAAGAACAAGCAGTCACTGGATCTGTTTCCTAGGAGACACTTAGCCTCGGAGTTTACACAGAATATTCGGCTCTGCTTTGGGGATGCATTTCAGAAGCTTTCTAATGAGCTTGTTTTTTGGGCTCTGCGGCAAACGTTGCCAGCAGCATTAATGACCTGGAAAGTAAACTTTGCAAAATGGGAGACTTAAACCAAAAGAACAGGCACGTGTGAAGGACCTTTGGAAGCAGGTCTGAATTTTTGAAATGTTTGAATTTCCTCGCATGTTTTTCACACGCACTTTTTTTTTATTAAATAGGAGGGCTGCTACTGCCTTGCAGGCCACCGTACTGAAATCCAAAGCAGCTCCATGGCAATAAAAGTGGCTTTTGCTGATGGTTGAAATACGGTCCACGGATACTTACCAGGGCTCAACCATTATTTTCTTACTTGTAAATGTCCCTCTGTGCCAAGGCTTCTTGCTTGGAATCGAACCCTCCACTAGGGATGCTTTTGAGCCAAACTTGTACAAATTGTGCAGGGTCCCCAGGAGGCATCCAAACCATTTTCCCTTTTTTATATTGGTGCCAGCTCATCTCACCCATTTGGGTTTAAACCATGGGAAGGAAAAAATTACACTCAAGGTCAGGAATTTGGACTGATCTTCACCGGTGTTGCCAACTCGCACTATATTTGGTGGCTGTCTTAAAGCCCCAGCTCTTAGAGTCTCGTGATTGTGACAATCTCAGCTTTCATTTTAGAAGAGTACATTTCTAGCCATCATAATTGCAAAGAAAAGCTTGAAAACGTGATCCAGGTGTAACCTAAAAGCTCAAAACCCAGAAGGCAAAGAGAATGAATCCCAACATTATTATTTATTATTTTATTTTTAAATCTCATGAGTTTTAAAGCCAACTTAGGCTCTGCTATATCAAATGCATGATTTTTTTCAATGCTCGGAATTGACAGTACTGCAACTGCAGTGTTCTGTGCTTCTGCTTAGGAGGCCTAAACCAGAATGTGTAATGCCTGGTCAGACTAGACTCCAAGCTGCGTAACAGGGAGTGTATGCTTCCCCTTGGAAGGAGGAATGTGTAGGTTCCTACTTCTGAAAACTAGTCCTCACCCTCCCCCCATGCTCTGACCATGTGTTCTCCTGTCCCCATTTTCCCCAAAAAATACTCTCACAGTCCTCCAAAAAGAGTGTGTGGGGCAGTTCCACTCTAGTCTTTATCTCCCCATTCCTCCCTCCCATGTGGGGAAATCTGCATGGTTCTCTGATTCTCATAGGGTCCGGGCAGCCCCTGCGTCACTGACTCAGGACTAGGAAAGCTCAGTCTCGCGCCCACCGCAGAGTGGGCAGGGAACACCGCCTCCTATGCTCGTTAGCCCCCACAGGTGACCCATTTGAAGGGGTGCACCATTTAGCAAGGCCTCTCAACCCCATACACCTTTGCTTCTCAATGAAATCTCCACTTCCCTTCAAATGTTCCCCCTGAAGGAATAGCTGTGATAGAATGAATGCTTTTTTTGTCTTTCAGAACTGACTTCTCTTGTGATCTCCATTAACTTTTTTAATAACCCAGCTCCCAATAGTTTTCTAGCAATTGAGCTATTAAGCTGCTCTCATATGACACAAATGCAGATTTGTCTGTAATACCCTTAAGTTCCATTGCATTAGCTTCCTTTTTCAAGTCAATAGCTAAATCAGCCAGCTTTCTACCAAAGAGCACAGCCTGATCGCTAATAGGTTTGTTGTTTAATACTGTGTTATCTTTTACCGCAGTTTTCCTGATCTGTGACTGATGGTTATTGTCTACCAGGAGAGGTAGTTGGTGATCTTTATTTTTGTTTTTTATTTTTATTTTTTTAGGTCAATTTTGGAAAAAGAAGGACCAAGGTCGCTCTTCCGAGGATTGGGTCCAAACTTGGTTGGAGTGGCACCATCAAGGTAAAGATCCTAAAGGGTTCAGTTCCATAATAATAAAAAAGTACATTTTAAGGCTGTGGCACAAAGATTGTACTAAGCATATTATAAATGCTCTGTTTTTATTAAACTAGTCTAAAAACCACCCGAACAGTTCATTTATGAACTAACTGCTGGCCAGTGGTAAGAGCACATAGTCCTAGTAGACAGAAGACCTGAATTCCAATTCCAGCTCTCTCACAGATGTACTCAGTGATTTGGGACAAGTTGCTTAACTTTTATATACCTTAGTTACCCCATCTGTGAAATGGGGCTACTGAAGCTCTTTCCTTGTCATAAAGCAGTTGCAGATCTATGGATGAAAAAAGTGCCATGCAAGTGTGATGCAAATATATATTAAATTCGAGCCATTATTTTTGAGGTGTGCAAATCAAAACTGAATGTGAATTAATCTTACTTAGTACTTGCCTAGCACTTTTCAATTCCTTGTCTGTTTCCTTCTCCTTCTCCCTGGAAGAAGGTGTTCGAGCAGACTGAAAGCAAGTGCCTGTTTACAGCGCCTAAAAATCTGGCTTTCTCTGGCATATTTATTGGCTTCTGTACATTTTGTTTCTCTGTGTGTGTATCCAGGCTGCTACTTATGATCTTTGCTTTTCATTATCAGTTTCACACACTGTCTTCACATAACTGATCTGCAGAGAGGGAACTTGAGATTGGATAAAAAGAGGGGTTTCTGTTAGTACAAGCCAGTCCTTTTTTTTTTTTTTAAAATATGTAGACTGAACCATGTATTTAAATGAATATCAGGAATGGGTGACTCGCTGGGCATAGACTGGGACAATAGAAATAAAGGGGTGCAAAAAATGTGAGATTTACATTAAGACAGACCAAAAAGAAAGGGGGCAGCGAATGTGGGCATGCACAAAGCTCTGGCATGGGGAAAATGGGGCACACACAACACCTGGTGGAGGGGAAATTGGGGGTTCCTAGTTTGGGGGGATAGGGGTGTACACAGAGCCCCTGCCATGGGGGGATGGCACTCTGAACCTCTGGTGGGGGAGAGTGGGAGGAATGGGGGGCATAGCTTCTGCCAATGGAGGAGTGGGGGGACCCTCAGAGCCCCTGGTGGCAGGGGGGAGATTGAGAGGGAGGAATGGGGGGCAGGCAGAGCCACTGGCATTGAGGAGGTGAATGAAGGATGTGGGAGTTAGAGCCCTGTACGTAAGGGAGCAGTGGGGAAGTTGCAGGGAGTCCCTGAAATAGAGGGGGTGGCACACGGGAACATGTGGGGTGGAATGGAGGAATGCATGGAGTTCCTGATGTGCACACTGAGCTTGGCCCACAGAAGCTATGAAATGCACGACACCCTAGTTCTAATCCTCTGGCTGTAAAGGCAGACATCCCGGTGCAGGTTGGCAGGCTGAGCCTTTGCAGATGGAAACAATAATGTTGAGGCCCTTCTGAGATCTACCTTGTTGGTCAGGACTATGGGAGGAAAGCAGTGACTGGTTTGAATTGCATGTCTGTAGATTATCCTCTGTTGCAATTTCTTCTCTTCTTCCTGGCACAGGGCGGTCTACTTTGCATGCTACTCCAAAGCCAAGGAGCGATTTAATGGCACTTTTGTGCCCAACAGCAACATTGTGCACATTTGCTCAGCAGGCTCTGCAGGTATGTTATCACATGGAGGGTGTCCCTTTGTCTCCGAGGCTGTCTTGCCATAGTACAAAGGTGCCCAGCCATTCTGCTTCCAGTAATGGGTTATCCGTGTTGATCCTACTCCAGAATCAGTCACGCACCATTTCCTTTCCACTCCACTCTCAAGAACCTCTCTTTATAGAGGGCAATGAAGAAGTTTTATCTATCAAATGGTCCATAATTCTTTCGACATGCTACTCTGTATGGTACACGTACCATCTAGGGCTGCCTAAAGCACATTTCCCAGCTAAAGCAGCAGGAAATGTTGGCAATGAAGTATAAAACAGGGAACTGTGTTTGTATTAGTACCCTGTACAATGGCGCCTGATCTGATCGATACCTCTGTATGCTACACGAAGACACAAGCTGTGTATTATGGTGCAGAAATGCCCAGATTTTCCTGAAAATGTTCATTTGGTCTCCCTGGGTTTGTACACCCACTGTGTTGCTGGGCCTCACCATGGAGAAGGGCATTCTTTTTCCAAGGAACATTTATCCAGCAAATGATCTCCATATAAGATTGAGATCAGGAGAGGTGGCTGAGTTCATGAAACAATGATGTTGGGAAGGGCACCTCTCAGGAATCAAAGTACAGGGACTGTTGAAAATCAACTCTGCCGGACCAGAAACTTCCAGCTCTCTTCAAAACAGGGAGGCAGGAGGCAACTTGGCAAGCTCCTCTATGGATTCTTAAGGAACCCCTCTTTGCAGAACTAGAAGTTAATGTTCATGCAGAGGCTTAGTCATGCAGCTTACTTCTGCAGCTCTCTACTTACACAACTGAGTATCCATTTCAACCAGGGAGGAATTAATTCCAAACAAGGGTTGTTTTTACCAGTTGTATAACATAGTTGTGGGACGCTCTGACAAGGATACTTTCAAAGTCACCGTAAAGCATTTGGAAGGTGAGAAATAAAACTCTAGAGGAGCCTGCCAGGTGAATACCCACATAAGATATGTACATGCTGTAGTCACCCCACATAAAGAAATGCCTAACAACTGGTATACCGCAGAGGGTCCAATATGTCACAAATTCTGAAGCGTACTGGATGGATTACCCAGTGGAACAAGGAATTTAAGCTGGGATTTTCAAATAAGCCTATGGGGCTTTCCAAGGGAGTTGGGCACACAAGTCCCTTAGGCCTGCTCTGTCGACATTTTTACACAAGTAAAACAATGTTGGGGAGGGGGGCTCGGGGTGGGGAGTAGTAACTATTTACTGAAATACTTACACTGTTATAACTCCTAGTGTTGGCACAATTATACCAATATAAAGGTGTCTTATTCTGGACTAGTTTATTCTCCTTCCCATACAGGAATAAGATTTACCAGAAAAAAAACAAAACACTTTTGTACTGGTATAAATGCATCCCCCTAGGGGGCTTGTAGTGCTAGACTATACCGGAATAATTCAAGCGGTACAACTAGTGTATAGACAGGGCCTTAGGCTCCTTTGACAATCCTAGTCTTAAAGAAATCTTACCCTGTGTTATACACCAAGCACTGCAGTTCTTGAGCAGCGACCAGCAATGTGTCGTCATTCCCTCAGCTGGGGAAAGAAACCATTTGCGTGTTATAATAAGTGCCTTTGAAACTGAGACTTAAAGATTTAAGGGGTGGGAAGAGGTGAAGTTACTAACCTCTCATGCAGCACAATATCAAGTGAATGTGCTAGTGCTCAAGTGTATTTCATCTTGCTTACGTAGGAACCCTTTTAATGTGGAAAACTTTGTGTACGTTTCTTCTGAAAATAAGTTTGCCATTTGCAGACCAGAAGGAGGAGGAGGTTATGCTGATGCTCCTGTGAACAATAAGGAAAGGTGCAATTTAATTGAAATCAGCCAATCCCCAATCAGAATGGTTTTTAGATCAGCTATTCTTTGTAGTCTCTCTTTTTCTCAGTGTTGGGATGTGACTTTGCTGTTCTGGGAGAATTTACCTCAGGATGACTGCACCAGTTTACTCAGACCTAAGTCACCTAACTGCCCATTAAAAAACATTCTCAAATTATTTCAAGCATGGATGGGTTCAGTTAAGGAGATGGCTCAACAGCACCACCTAGAGTCTTGAACTATCTGGTATGGATGATTGGTTCATGGACAAGTTAATAAATTATTCTAAAACCAATCAGTAAATATTAAATCTTATAGAAAGATTGTTTACAGCAACCCGGGCTACATAATAATACCAGTGCTGAGTGCTAACAAAATCCTACGGTAGAGAGAATGAATACCTCATAAGGGGAACTTGCTATGATTCTGTAGCAATGTGTTGATTCCAAACTGACTACCTCCCTCCCTATACTTCCTGTTCTGAAATCTCTAAATAGAATCTCGCCTATGGGACTACAGAGCATTAAAGCTTAGCAATTGTCATGGTTATTGCAGCAACCAATCCCTCTTAATTACGCTGTTTTTTTGTTTTCTTTGTCTTTCAGCTTTTGTCACAAATTCCCTGATGAACCCTATATGGATGGTGAAAACCAGAATGCAGCTGGAACGGAAGTAAGTGACTGAAAGAAATCGGGTCATCTTAGTTGAGAGGGGCTCCAAAACACACGTTCTTGCCCCTTCCATCTGTGGCTCTGGCATCCCTGACAAAGCGCTTTTCCTATTCCCTGTCCCAGTCAACCCCCATACCCTTTAAGTCCCTGTCCTGTTAGATGACCAGGGTACAGCTTAAGCCTATCAGTTTTGTACCTTAATTTGACAAGAGGGGTCACTACTGAGGAGGGGAAGGATGGTCCAATTGGTGCTAGCTTGGGATTCAAGACCCACGTTCAGTTCCCACCTCCGCCCCAGACTTCTTGTGTGGCCTTGGACAAGTCACTTAGTCTTTTTCTCTGCCTCAGTTCCCCATTTTTCCCACCTCACACACAGTGGTGTCAAACCTAAGTACATGAAAGATTGTGCGGCACTTCTATGACCCCCATTACTGAACTATCCAAGCACCGAAGAGAAATGCTCAGGGTGGGTTCAACGAGGTAAAGGTCAGGACTGAGGATCCAATCTGTGTCCCCTCTACGACAAAAAAAGGCATTAATATTGGCCCTAAATCGTACAGAAGTGGGTTCTATATTCTCTTCGGCTAGTTCAATAATACAAGCCCCTCCGTAACTGCCCATTAGCTACGCTCTGAACAATGTGAAGTTTTTTTTAAAAATCCTATCATTGAGGTTGTTTAATTTCATAGAACACTATAATGGCAATAAAAGGGTCCCCTTCAGGGGTTTAAAGTCCTTTGGCTCCCCCTTCAAGACTCTATTACTCTCAACCACATGTTCTAGAGACAGAGGATAGTCTTACGTAAAAATTGATAGTAACAGCTTGGAGCTGAATGATTCACATCCACCGGTGGATGTGAAAGCCATGAGGGATTCTAGCACAGTGAGAGCTCTGCTATAGTTAAGGTTACATTAATAATGTGACTCTTTAAAATGGCAATTTTTTTTCCCAGGGATATGTTTGGTGATAGATCAGAAAGATCCTTAAGATACTGAGATTACTCACCAAGAAGTACTTGAAAATATGTTGGTTTACGCAGTTTATAAATTATTTAAAAAGCCTAACTCCAGTAGTTCACTAGGTGGCACCTTTGAACCTAAATGCTGCTTGTTACCTGAAGAATCATTCCACAGACAGACCTTTGTCTCTGGCCCCGCCCCAACCAGACAAGAAGGAAATTGCTAGTTCAATAAAAAGCAATGCTCCCTCCATAGTACTGTTATTAAAGCACTAAACTATGACAGAGGAGCCAGGACTGGCGCTGAAAAGATTAGCACAGGCATGTATTAGCTGACTGGAAAAGGCAAATGTGCACAATTAGCATTACAGTCCTGCTACTGGCATTTGAAATGTGACTACAATGCCAAAAGCAATGAAAGGAACATTAAAAGTCTCTGCACAGCATTCCTAGAAAATTCCTGCAGCTACACTTAGCAGAGAGCTGTTCTTGTTTCTCCTGGGTCACTTTTCATTTGTAATGTCTGTGCAGATTTTTGAACCTCTTGAGTTTTGCCTTGTTCTAACCCTGTTTTAATTTGCTCCCTTTAGAGTCAGGGGTTCAAAGCCGATGAATGCTTGGCAGTGTGCTAGATACGTTTACCAGACAGAAGGGGTCCGTGGTTTTTACAGAGGCTTGACGGCCTCCTATGCTGGGATTTCGGAGACCATTATCTGCTTTGCTATTTATGAAAGTTTAAAGAAGCACCTGAAGGATGTCCAGCTGCCCCCTTCCCCTACTAATGGGACCAAGAGGAACTCCACAAACTTTTTTGGACTGATGTTTGCTGCTGCTGTTTCTAAGGGCTGTGCCTCCTGTATTGCTTATCCGCATGGTATGTTAAAACTCTCCATTTACCAGTACAGTAGAACAGCTGTTGCCTTTAGTCTGTATTATTCTATGGCTGACAGTGCTGTAATATTCTTATTAATCTGGATGTCTGCAGATGCCATGTTACTGCAGTGACTGTCTATGTACCCAGATCTTCAGCATTGTTCCCCTTACTCCTTGCTAGCTAAACAGCTGATTGCTGGGACTTCCTGAAGGAGGTTTGCTACAGAAAACGAACTCTTCTCCCTCCCTTCTCTTGTTCTTCACTATTAGCCTCATCCAGCTCCTCACAGGTCTTTGGAGCATGAGTGTGTTTGTTTCATTTTTATTAGCTCACTTTGAGTGCCGCATAAATGACTGGAGGTAAGTGCTTTACAGAACAAATAGACTATTGTTTCTGTCCTGAAGAGATGCATCAAGGGAGAAGGGGGCTGGGGAATGACAAGGTTGCAGCATTTGGATTATGCTTGTCATTGTGGTTAAATAGATGCTGCATCCCACCTCTTGTAGGCAGCTCAGTAGAGGGGTTTAGCAGGGATTTGGCCTAGCCATCACCATCCCCTCAGACAATGAAAATTGATGGGAGTTCCATACAGAAGGGGTAGCATGGAGAAGGCTGCTAAAGGGAGAGATGGAAACAGGGCAATGAGGCTGGTCCTAAAATGCCAATGATTCTCTTTTCCTTATCCGGCAGTATTTCTTTACTCCGCTGTATGCTGTGCTTTATGGAAAAATTATTCAGATTCCCTGCACATCTCTCTCTGCCAAATTCTTTCCTTCCTTTTTAAAATCAGAGCCCTAGATACTGGCTGTTAACATGGCTTGAATTCTTAGTCTGATACCCTTAGATGCTTCCATGAAAATGCCAATCTGGGCTTTTACCTCATTCTTGGCACTAACTTTTAGGCAACAGATCACATCACAAATGGAAGAGAGCCAGGGGGGAGAAAAGACCATGAAATCCGATTCACCAAACCATTGACTAATTTAGTTTTAGTCAGAAACTAATTCTATTCCAGGCCTTCCTCTTCCTTTTTTAAATTGTCCTCGGTACCTTGTTTAATGAATGCAGCTCCATAGAGATTTCATAGTGCCATCAATGCTCTGAATCTATAAGAAGCCTTTCTCTGCCATAGCTCTCCAGACAGATTAGATGAGGCCAGTTTTTATTGCAACTGTACAGAGACTGTTTTTGACTTCCATCATACCTGAACAGTATATAAATTTATGTGCAAATGAGTCAGGTAAGAAAAAAAATCTAGGGTGACTTGTCCAAAGAGAGCCTGATTCTTGTATAAATGTTTTGGTTTATACAAATTACAAGTGGCTCCTATCTAAGGCAGTAGATGCCGCTGCCATAAAGCTAAACAGCCCACACCCCATGCAGATCCCCCCCACAAATCTGATTCCTTTCCAAAGCTGCCTGCCACAGCAGCCCACACAAATTGATGCATCTTGCAAGATGTTCTGAAGTTCAATGGAGCCTGGCTATTTTGGAGCAGAGGAGGAAGCTAGTTTCAGAGTGGTGGGCCCCTCACAGAAAGCACTGTACTGCAAGCCGCCTCTCTTGTTCAATCAATTGGAATCCAGCCCAAATGCATCTGTCGATCACAGCTATGGCCTTGAACAACACCGTAGCTGTGCCAAATCAGAAGTGGCTTCCCTCTGTTTCATCGTAAGTAAATGCCACCAAGCCACAGCTCACACCATACACCAGCTTGAGGAGAGCACAGGACCTACTTAACTGTGTACCCCCTTCCCAAAGCACAGTGTGGGGAATGTGAGCAGAAACGGAGGAGGTAGTCAGCTGAGTAACAGCCGTCATGAGCAAGCCATCCATTTTTTGTGCAGTTTGGTGTTTACATGGAAGTGGAAAGCCAATTTTAACTTCCTGCCTTGTCTGATGAGCAGTGCCTGCAGGACTCCAGGGTTTGTAGGTGAGCGGATTATCCAACAGGCATCTCACTTGTCTAGGGTAAGGTTCTGGTTGCCCTAAGCTATGCAGGCTCTTTCCGAAACCTGTATGTGTTTCTGCGCTGGGGGATTTGACTGGAGACACTAACCTAGTGCTCTGTTTGTTCCCCCCCAGAGGTCATACGGACAAGACTGCGAGAGGAAGGCACAAAATACAAGACTTTCTTTCAGACGGCTCGTCTGGTAGCACGTGAGGAAGGCTACCTGGCTTTCTATAGAGGACTCTTTGCGCAGCTCATCAGGCAGATACCAAACACAGCCATTGTGTTGTCCACCTATGAGCTAATTGTGTACCTGTTGGAAGACCGCACTAAGTAGCAGAGCCAGGGAACATCCTTTGGAAAATAAAAACTGACTTGAGCAAATAGCCATTTAAGAGACTGATACAGGTGATGAAGATGGAAAATAGCTATGAGTCTCTGATCACCTGCTGGACACTTTTTTCCTTTTGGATTCATGCTTTCTGGAAGGGTTCAACTCATTAACGTTAATAGTTAATTAAACTTTTTAACTTAAGGAGAGATGATTCAGAATTAAACTGCTACTAAATTAAATCATGCATTTAATTTATGTATGTTTTGTTTGTCCTTTTCTTTAAGCACAGGTATATGTGGCATATATGTACCTGTGCTATTGAGATGTCTCTTGGATTGATAGTCATTAAAACTGTATTGAAGTGGGAGAGGAACTGGTTTGGCGTCTGAAACTGAGACCTACCGCTGGTGTGTCACACTATCGTTTCCCAGAAGTATTGAGGCCTGAGACCTTTCAGTGTGCTTCATGGCTGATTCATGGGTGTAATATTCATCATTCCTGTGATCTTTCAGAATGGGGTACTGAGCACAGTGAGGCAGCTTTGTAACTCGCAACTCGACCAGTATAAAATGTTCATGCCGGAATTTCCTGGATAAGCCACTATGTTGGAAGACATTCCTGTAAAGGTTAAGCAAAATAGCTCCCCTGAGATAAACTTAAATCATACTTGGGAGGGGCACCTCATTTAATGTTTGCATCATTTAAGTCTTCTCTAATCTATTACTTTCCTCATCTCCAGTGGGTGACTTCTTTTCTGAATGGCATGGGGGAATCAGTACAAATTCTTCGAGGTATGAAGCCAACTCTAGAGCTCCACTTTCTGGTGCAATATATAGGAGCTAAACAGTTTTAATTGGTGATATCAATAATTATTATTAATCTGATTTGCCCCGGGAAATAGAAACTTGGGGATTGGAATGGAATCATGCACATTTTACCTCCTGATAACCCTTGCTACCTCACTGGGCTAAGTAAAAACCATATAAAGTTATGTAATGAGACTTTAAGGAAACCATGTATGAAGTTAAAAATGGAGAGATACAGATCTCCTACTCCAGTACAACCTATTGGACTGTTCTCCCCCCCCTTCATGTAGGTTCAGTAATCTCTTGTGTGCTCCAAAGAGACCAGATTGAATGGCTCCTCTCCCCCCCACACTTTGGTCATCTTTCACCACTAGTCAGTGACATAGCTCCTGCCTCTCAGTTTTAAATTACACGCCCTGCATAACTCAAATCCTTTCATGGGGCTCTTGAAATGTGCTTAAACTTAAGCAGTCATGTATATTGTTGTAGCACCCAGCGGCCTAGATATCACTGTCCAGGTATAATTGCTGGGTGTTTCTGGATTATTTTGGGGGGACTTAAAGGGTTACAATTGGTTTTGCCTTTTTGACTGGCCACTGTGTTCTTGTACCCATTAGTGTAATTTGCTTTGACAGCTGAGACAAATGCTACAGTGCAAGAAAGATCATCTTCTGTCTTTTCTACAGTGGAACTGAACAACTGAGCTCCTCGTGACTTCAGCAGGTGTTGAATTCTTGGGCATGTACCAGTGTTTACTCCTCTAACTTCACCAAGAAGCAAACCCAGACTTCGGAGTGTGTTACAAATAGTTAGGAAAAAGCCCAGGAGTGAGGCTAGGGCTCTAGAATCCTGTCTGCTTATAAAAGGCTAATGAGAATAACCATGATGGTTAGAAATGTACTTACTGACCCACTCTGTCTCTGTACTAGAATGCCAATCTGGATGCTAACAGTTAAGCCCCCCTTGAGGACAACTGCAGAGGTAGGAGGAAGTGAAGCATATGTACCCTATAGATGAGGCCCAATGTAACTATAGAAGAATTTATTAAATCCTACAGTGGTTCATTGGAAAGGAGAGAATGTAACATTCAATTTGAATTTAAAATTAAAAAAATTGAAAGTTGAATAAACTAGAAATTGTGAAAGGACTCTTAAAATAGTTTTGCTTCTTGTCTCTCTTCTAAAACCTTTGTGGGAATCTAAACTGTCAGTTTTGAAAACCAAAAGATTTTTGCTGCTTATTCCTTCAAAACTTGAATCTGAGATCTGCTTTCTTAAATTATTCCTGTTTTTCATGTACATTGGCTCCCTTTTACAGCATTGGTCAAGTGTCTGAGCTGCTGGTGCTTCCCTTTTAGAAAAAGGGAAACTAGTGGTTTGCTTGAGGCTCAAAACTTGAGATTACAAACAGGGTTTTTTAAAATACCTAAGCCTGTTCAATAAGGTGTTTTGGGTTTTGTTTTTACTAATGCCCTTGGCAAATTATTTGATGGTGATTGAAAGTATCATATTGACAGCTGTTAGAAGATGAATTCAAGTTTAAATTATTCCCTCCCCTTACACTAAAATCCAAAAAGTTCAAAAGTCTAAGGCCCTAATCCTGTAAAGATTTATACACATTTAATGTCATGCTTTGTGAGTAATCTCTCACTGAAGTCTGCTTCAGTAAGTCTAGGCCTAACTCCATTATTGGAGGAAAGGACTGGAAATAGTTCAAGGGACATTCATGTTAAAATACTCTAAAAAGGCAGGGGAGTCCTTTTTATGATGAGATGTTTGTGTGTTTTCACAATTGATGTGGTCTTTTTAAAAATTCATTCTGTTTAGGTAATGAAAATATACTAGTCAATGTCACTTGTTTCACTTCCAGGTTCTTGCTTCCTAACACCATGTTGCAAATACTGGGTAATATCCTGGCCCCATTGAAGTCAGTGGCAAAACTCGCATTGACAACAGTGAGGCCAGGATTTCACCCATTGTAGGAGAATGGTTAAAACAAGCCGTACAGTGGTTCAGGATACCAGTTTCTGTAAGTCTAATTTTTGGGGTAGCTCTGATGGAATTGATGGTGAGAGGATGGATCAGGTGTAGTGTCCTGGCTCCTCACAAGGCTGTTTGCATGACTGGTTATATATTATGGTCGTGCCTAGAGAAAGTGGTGCAGTCTTGATCTGTCACTTCTTTTTCCTCCTCCTGAAAAGTAGCTGATTTCCTCCAACTTTGAAGAGTTTGTGTATATTCATTCCATTCTCTATTCCCCTTTTCTTTCATGTTCTGCCTCATCCCCACCTGTCTTTGTGGTCCTGTTTCATTTTTAGTAAGTACTCATGTGGAAGCAGCCTTGCTTCGTAATTATGAAGTGGGTAGATATCTCTTGTACAGTTGGAAGTAAAGGAGGCAGAAATTATAAGCAACTTGACCAATGCCAGAAGGAGGGAGTGTGTCAGAGCTAGGATTAGAATACAGGTGTCTCAGCCAAATTTTCTGATTTGTCCATTGATTCTGGGGGCCTAGGTTTTGAAACAGCTTGGTCTTTGGTTTTCAGAAGTTCTCACACCTGGAATTTTCTTCGATGTCAGTGGGAACTGTGGGTACTTAGCACCTCTGGAAAATTAGGCCAAATACATGTGTCCAGAAGTTGAGAAATGGTTTCTTAAAAGCAGCCCCTCTTGTTGATCCTAGGCTGCACCTCTCTATTGAACTGACCCTCTTTATAGCCAAAGAGCTGTCCCACTTCCAGCCAGCCAGAAGCTGCAGCCCAGGTGCCACTTCCATTTCACAGCTGTGTACTGGGCAACATCATCTATTAAATTCAGGGGGGAGGGGTAGGGGGAAGGGAACCAGCCTGCCTGTATCAGAAGGCCCCTCCCCCAGCCTGAGGGGAGGAAGCACTAAATCCAAGGTTCAAGTCAAGCAGGGGACAAAGAATAATTCAACAGGGTCAAAAGTAGGGGGCCAGAGGGGTGCTGGGAAATAGCAGCTGAGCCAGCCCTTTGGTCACTGCAGCTCTAACAGAGCAGACCTCATTAAGAGGAGCTGTGCCTAACTGCTGGGCTGAGGAGGACTGAGAGGCTAATCAGGCTGTTAGGCAGATGATACAAAAGGCACAGGAAGAAAGTGGGATGGGAGAGACTGGTCTTCCCTGCTTGCCTTGGGAGCTGAGGGCTCCATAAGACTGTTGGAGGGAGGATATGGGGGTGGTGCAGACTAATATTGCAAATAAACAGCACTGGGTGTTTTACCTGAAAAGGCCTCTGAACTGTCTGTGAACTTGAGTGGGGGCTGGGGGGGGTTGCCACACGTGGGGGCTTGTCTGGGATCGTAGCCAGCGTGAAGGTTTGGTGGCCTGGATGATGGAGGAGACCCTGCAATGGCTGGTGAAACAGAGAAGACCCTGCAAAGTTTCCAACAAGCCTATCGCATGGAGAGGCAGGCCTCACAGCAGAAAAGCTTGCCAACATGTCACAGCAGCTCCTACAGAAAGTGGTGAGTCCTGTGATGGGGGATGGTAAACCAGACACAGGGCCTAGGGCCTACATAAGATAGGCCCTGCTGAGGATCCTGATGCATTCTGGGTACTTTTGAGAGGGTAGGTATGGATGCAGGTTGGGATAGGGGAACCTGGGCCCTGAGGCTGGCTCCCTATCTGTGGGGAAAGCCCAAGCGGCCTATATGGCTCTGAATGAGGCTTAAGGCAGTGAGGGGAGCCATTCTGGAGCGGGTGGGGCTGCCCACTGAAGTTCCACTGAAAGTTCTGATCTGCAAGGCGGGCTGGGGGTTTATGGCCCTGGGCATTCACCCAAAGGCAGACGGACTAGGCCATCTGCTGACTGAGACCAGACACCCAAACTGGGGGGGGAAATAAGGGAGCTCTGGTGCTAGAACAGTTCCTTCAGGGCCTTCCTGAGAATAACCAAGTGTGGGCCAGGAAGCATCTACGGGGTCTGATGGATGCGGCCATAATATTAACTGAGGAATGCACAGAGGTGGACTTTCCCACAAAGGGAGGATTACCGTATAGGGATCTGGAGCATGGGAGGCAGACCAGAGACCCTCAGCAGGAAGGGGATAGAGAGACAGGTGACAGGGACACACACAGGGATTGCCTGTACATGGACTGTGGTTTTGCTGAGTTTTGTAGCTGGGCCAAAACTAGAGAAAAGCAATGGACAAACTGTCCACACTTCAGTTATGGTGGGAAGGAAACTCTCTGGAGGGGACTTGTGGATACAGCCTCAGCTTGCTCTCTGGTCTGGAGGGAGCTGGTGAAGTCTTACTGGATGATTCTAGGAGCAACTAGGAACATAGTGAGTCCATGGGGATAAGAAATGCTGCCCTATGGCCTGGGTGCGCCTTGAGGTCAGTGGGAGGTTTTGTTGGAAACAGGTTGGGGTAGTGGACAGGCTGTCCTATCTGGTTGTATTGGGCACTGACTGGAACCCCTTCCCAACAGGGAAACAAGGCGGTATAAGGAATCCCAGGGTGGGGAAAAAGAAGCCAGAGGGGAGAGAAGAGAATGAGCCCAAAAGAAAAGCAGTAGAAGCCTCTAGACAACAAAGC